CCAGCACTTTGGGAGGCTGAGGTGGGCAGATCACATCGCCAAGAGATAAGAGACCATGCTGGCCAACATGGTGAAACCCTGTCTCTATTGAAAATACAAAAATTAGCTGAGTGTGGTGGCATGTGTCTGTAGTCCCAGCTACTCAGGAGGCTGAGGTAGGAGAATCGCTTAAATCCAGGAGGCAGAGGCTGCAGTGAGCAGAGATGGCGCCATTGCACTCTAGCCTGGCGACAGAGCAAGACTCCATCTCAAAAAAAAAAGGTACTACTTCAGTAGCACTAAATAAATTAAATACAAATCTAACAAAATATGTGCACAATCTATAGGCCAAGAACTGCAAAATACTGACAAAATAAATCAAAAAAGCCCTAAAAATAATAGACATACTGTGTTTATAAGTTAGAAGACTCAGTACTGTTAAGATGTCAATTCCTTCCAAATTGATCTACAGATTCTCTACAATACCAATCAAAATAACAGCAAGCCTTTTGTAGATACCGCACCCCTAAACAGAGATCAGAAGGTAGCAGCAACTGAAGATACACTGCTGAATATACCTGGCGGACAGACACCAGTGATTAGTCTTCAAGAATTATTAACTAAACTCTTAAAATTCATCCATTTTCCCAAATGGATGACTCAAGTAGTATAGTGGATGTTACTGAGTCTATAGAACTATAGCCTACAGTAAAACTCTGCCATTCTCTCACTCTACAGAAAGAATGGCAGCCTTCTTTTAAAAACGTTACGTAACTAACTTGCATCAATAACAGACCACTAGATATAGATAGTCAGCTATGTCCTGCAGCAGAGGATAAGAGTAATAACAGCACAAAAGAGGGGACTTGACATAGCTTTGTTAAATATGCAATCTAGTTGATCAATGGACTTGGCCTCAGAACACAAAATTAATTTGATGCTGCACAACTTAGAAAATTATGCAAAGAAAAAAAGGAAGCAAGAGAAAAGAGAAATCAATGAAGTGACGAGGCACAAACATGGGTATTCGTATAGTTCTGTCATTAAAATACAAGAGAAAAGCATCAATAAAATCCATAATATTTAGGAAGATAAACAGGGTTATTAAGCAAATAGTAAACCAGAAAACTGGGCATGAAGGTAATAATTTGAACAAGGGCCCAAAGTAGACATGCCAACAGCTGTACAACAGAGGGAGGATAAACTGTGGTAATAGTCACAGGGTCCAAAGTCTAAGTTTGGATGGAAAAATGGCAAGAAATGCCATGTGTTTATTTTTATAATGTATATGATACTGGCAAATGACTTACAAATACAATGTGAAAAATAAAAATAAAAGAAATGTAAATGACCAATTTAGGTGAGGTAGGGAAGAATGGGAAAGAATAGCTTGTAGATTTTCTATCTGTTAAGTGTATGCAATTCTGATGCATGTGCTATATCAAATATAATCTGTTTTCAATTATTCTCATATAGAAAATGAATCACCAATGTTGTTGACGCTCTACTACTTTGGCTACTCCCCACTTGATGGAGGTTCAGCAGATGGTCCATTTCTATTTTTTTGATAAAATATTTGGTGTAAAAGAAATGTAAAGTAGAGAAGCCAAATGAAATTTCTGAATTGGCATTAAAGCAAAATAATCCATTTTTCCATGGGCTCCAGAATCAGAGTTCAAGGATTACTACACTAAATTGACATTGAAAAAGGATGCTTGTTACAATACAGCTTTAACCTGATTTTCAGCAATTAGAAACTGTTTGTGCATAGATATCTTAAAACTGTTTCAATGTACTTTCAGTTATGGTGAATTCCAGTATTTCACAAAGCTGAGATTTATTTACAGACTCAAGAGAATCTTCAAAACTGTGGTATCAGAACTGGCCACAAGCTGGGTAAGAATGATCTGATATGCAGAGCACAACGTAAACATAGAATAAATTACTCTGTCATAGTCATGGTTGTCCAAACTTAAGAAGACAAATACATAAAATTAAAAATCAGAGATTCCCCATATGATGAATTTTTAGGAATTAAAATAGATACCCAATTAAAATACTTATAACTAAAAAGGAAGGCATGAGTTTTGGAAAAGGATTTTAATTAAGCTGTATTTTGAGATTAGAATCAAATCTAGTGCTTAGTTATCATTAGGAAGTCAAATTGCTTTCCTAGGTTATTAAAGGTTAGCCTATAACATTATTTTATAACATGAAATTAGGTTTAAAATCACCAATTGTAGCATTCTTCAAAATTAGTATCCTATATGAATACAAAATATATTAAATGCACAAGTGTGAGTGTTACTATGGAAACAAGAATCTTTATAAACTGATAATTTGACATTAATTTTTTTTTTGAGACTGAGTGTCACCTTGTTGCCCAGACTGGAGGGGCAGTGATGCGATCTTGGCTCACTGCAACCTCCGCCACCAGGGATCAAGCGATTCTCATGTCTCAACCTCCTGAGGAGCTGGAACTAGAGACTCATGCTAATATGCCTGACTAATTTTTGTATTTTTTTGTAGAGAAAGGGTTTCACCATGATGGCCAGACTGTTCTCGAAATCCTGACCTAATGTGATCCACCCGCCTTGGCCTCCCAAAGTGCTGGAACTACAGACATGAACCACTGCACCCAGCCTGTTATTAATTTTTTTATGAAAATAGTATCTGATTTGCAATCATGGTTTAGATATTTGCATATTGGTTAAAAACAGGGGAAGTCAGAATTACCTTGTTAAGATTTCAGCATACCTTGTGATCACCAAAAAAAATTTGTGGTTTTTAAAAGGAAATAAAATTATACTAAGCATTGTACCCAAACAAAAAAAAAACAGTTTGTTACATCTTATGTATCCTTGGAGACAAGTTACTCACACAGAAAATAAAGTGCAATGTCCACGCTGAGTTACCATTATGGCTCAGAAATCCCAGATTTTGGTTTTTTTTTTTTTTTTAAATAATCTGAGTAAAACTTGAAAACACTGTCTCACAAAGAGTTAAACAAAGCATAAAAATATACTTCAACAAAAAGAGCCAAAGTTGACCCAAAGGAAGCTTGACTTGCCAAAAGTTATATAGGCAATAAATAGCAACTAACCCTAGATCATCCAATACTAAGTCCCAGAACCTTCATAATTTTCCAAAGAGAAAAGGCCAACTGCCTAGTAGAGTGTGGCTTGCAGAGTTTTAACACTGACTCTGCTGCTAACTTACCTAGACCCTTTTAAGTTAGTAGCTTTCCCTGTATCTTGGTTTCTTCAACTTCATGGGAATATTTTGATGATAAACATAAGCAACTACTTGAACTCTGGCAGAAAAGCACTCTACTGTGTTAATAATCTCCTCATCCCCACCACATATTTCAACTGATGCTAACATGTTTTCTCTAGTTTTAATTTGAAGCTTAAATGAACGCGTGTCATTTAAGGGGGGAGAGAGAGAGAGAGAGAGAGAGAGTGTGTGTGTATGTGTGTGTGTGTGTGTGTGTGTGTGCCTCTGTGTGTATTTAAGTTATCTTTATAAATGGCTGGCATTCTAACAAGATCTTTTCCCCCCACTTTCAAAATGCATGAATAGCAGCACAACGTTTTCATTTTTAGCATTACCAAAGCTTTGCCATCCAAAGCTGTGCAGAAGATTTTTTAAATTGACAATAAAATTTTCCACCACATTACTCTGAACTTGTATAGAAATGCAATTCACAACTCATATACTGGTCAGTTATTCCTCTATAAAGCTTCAACGCCACCAGTGGAAGATTATAAAAATACACACTGCTTTTCCAAATAATAAGAGAACAGTTCCAATTGCAAATAAAAAAACAGTATACATTTTGAAACATGAAGATCACTAAATATTCCTAAAATAATGGAAATAGGTGATGATTAACATTCTAACAGTTTAGCCACCTGTAATGTCTTCTAAAGAGTCCAGCTGTTTTAACTGCTTAATTCTAAAAAAAAATTTATCCTCACTATTAAAAATAGAAGCTTATTTATGGTACATAAAATTAATAGAAATTTAATTTTAAATATTTTAATTTAGATTTTTAATTTTAAATATAAAATTTAATTTAAAATTTAAATATTTACATATTTAATGCTAAATATTCAGCACTTATATCATTATTTCCATTTTGAAAGTGTATCTACCTTATCATTTAGCTTTATCACTTATAAAGACATGTAACTAACTTAATTTACTTTAAGAATATTTTATTAACAACATTAGCATGTAGCTACATATAATATTTAAGAAATAGCAATCCAAGAAATGTGCCCAGGTCAAAAATAGAATAAGCCAACTGAAATAAAATATTGTAGCAAGTGATCAGTATACATCTACCAAATAAAAGGGTTATCAAAGGTCGTGAAGACAAGGTAGTAATCTCCAAAAGTAATACAATTATTAATGAATAAAATTTTACACCCTGAGACTAAGCTATTACAATGAAATGTTTAAAAAATATTTTAGAGTATTATCACCTTAGGTCAATCTGATTATTATTTTGAATGAATGAATGAAATGAATGAATACCCAAATGAATGAATAAGTGAAGTCATGACAATGTTTAACACCTTGAGATGCTCACAATTTGGAATACTCAGAGAAGATGACTTGAATACAAACAAACTAGTTGAAATTCAATGTGGCTCACAGTAAAGAAGCAGTGGGTTTCTATTTGTAGAACAAAGAATCTCAACCAAAAACATATATATGACTAAAATATTCTCAAATGCAATTATCAAGGCTTTAAAAAGAATATATAGTTTTTACTATGTAAATCTTTTCTGTTCCCCCACCCCCCTGCATTTTTTAATGTTAGGCATAAGTGACCAACAAACCAGAATAGAATACACATTTTTAAAATACTAATTTACACATATTCTATTTAAGAACAACATATAACCACTCATAAATTTAGCCTTTTAAAAAAAGTATCCTTATATAAAACAGTGGGGAGCGGGGGAAATCCCTGCTATACATATGAAGCACAGTTTAAGCCCAATACAACTGACCAATCAAAATTAGTGAATGCACTGCATCTCTCTGCAGTGGAGAGAAGCGACAAGGTAGGCTGTCATTCTGCAAAAGCTGCCCAGAACAGGCTTTCCTCTGAAAAGCAGTGCCGTTCCTTTTTAGAAAGACTGAATCTAAATGTTGTCTCTGGAGACAAGAAGCCTTCAGTATGTTAAATTACTTTCATTATGTATTTTCAGATGCTTATTGATTCCACAGTAGGAAGAGTGAGAGACTGCAGCAGCCTCTAAGCAGCACTACATGTTCCATACATTAGCAGTACTGCTGAAACAATGGCACACTACAGACACATATTTTCATTAAGGTCATTTTCGAAGAGATGTTTATGACCCTCTTCCCCCAGTCCTCTACTAACAAGTGAACAAAATGAATCAATCCAAACTGGAAATGCTTCAACTACATCAAGAATTTATCAAATCTTTAGCAGAGGTAAGATGTGTTCCTTATTATAGTATACAGCTGCTTTTGAATTGGCATAGTGGGGTAAAAATTACTTTGAAAAATTTCAGCCTAAATTTTAAGAGTTTGTTTAATTCTACTTATTGCTAGACATGTATTTTAAGATCAATTTCTTTTAAGACATGCTAAAATTTAAATGTAATTTTTAGAATGCATTGTTAAATACAAATATTCTTTGTTAATTCACTATGAAGACAGCTTTTAAGTCACTTCAAATATACTAAATATTCTTAATGTAATCAGTACAGTTTTCCTCCAGTGTTCCAAAAATGCTTGTATTTCTTAAAAGAACAAGGTTTACTATTTTGCTGTTACTTATTATTTTTATGTTGTTTATTATTGGGCATGTTCATTGAAAATTAATTTGCAGTTATAATTTTTATTACCTTTTATATTTCAACACATGAACAATTCATCGATGGAAATTCATAGTATCTTGTCAGGAAATCTGTTTTAATGAGTTAAAATTCAAACCATGTGCTAATAATTAAGCAAGTTACAGTATTTTTACAGCAAGAAATGTTAAATTTATTACAAAGAGGAAATAACAATATGTTTAGTGTATGCTAACTGTTCATCGTCTCTGAAAATGCAGATTAGCTTCCAAAATCAGAGCAGAAACTAGTTTTAAAAAATACAGCTTTTCTCTCACAACTGTATTTGAAATATGAACTGTATTATTAAATAAGATAATATATACAATCTTTATTAGGAAAAAGGAATCTTATTTAAAGAAATTTAATTTTATGCATATAGCTGTGGCTCTAATAATTCAGTTTGGTTTTTGTGATAACAAATACTGGACAGTTTTTAAACAAAACTAAAGTAACTTTCAATTAATTACAAATTTTTAAAAATCCTGTTTCTTAACCAATTATTTTCTTTTCACAAGGACCGATAACAGCTAATTCAGTATTTACAACTGACAATATGAAGAATGCAATTGACTGAGCATCTCCCTAGCTGTCTGAACTACGAACTACAAGATGTTCCTGTAACACGACTTAAGACATTAAGGAGTTAAAACCAGGGAACAGGTCTACATTACTGTTGGAATATAAAAAATCAACTGTATCCTAGGAAGATGCTACATAAAATAACCACAAAAAGAAAAACAATATAACTGTAAAAGCCCAAAAAGAACTGGTGAGCATTTTAAAAATGGAAGTTTATACTTTAACATACCAGAATTGTGGAAGCTACTGATTCTGGAAGAAATAATGAAACATGAATTTCCAAAAAGAAAATAGCATACTTGACCAGCAAACAAAAGGAAGATTTAGCAAGTGTCTTCTGCACTAAATATTCAGATATTCATATCAATTGATACGACTAATGGATTTTTCTGACTTTTATGACCAATCATGTATCCTCATCTAATGAAAACAAACCAAATTAAATAGCAGATGGTTTTTATCAAAAGGGCATGGCCTGGATTTATAATATAAAGCAAGTTATGTGATCAAGAAAGCATTTCAAAATAGTGAGGACTGCTATAAAAACAGTTTACAATTGTAACAAAAGGATGTTTAAATATATTTTAGAAGCTACAAACCTTAAGTTCCCTTTTTTGTTTTCACATATTCTGGAACATAAAGAGACATTCTCATGTACACCACCAAAGGGAAACATAATTCCTATCATCCGAGGAAGTTTCTCTTGGTCATGACTTTTTAAAGCAAAACAAATAAAATATTATGTACTGTTCTTTAGAAATCTGTCAGCCAACTAAATCTCATAATGCAAGCAGTTGAAGTACTGGAGAGAAAATGAAAGAATTCCTACAAGACATGAAATAAATCACAGCTACTTCACTGTTGTCAGGTAAAAATTCATGTCAAAATCTGTCAATGATATCATGTATCAATTTGTCAAAAACTGCCATTGTGAGCCAAAAGGCCCATAAGGTAACAGCAAACAGGTAGGTCAGAAGATGCATGCACTGGACCACACTGTTTAACATTTACAAAATAACAGAATCTTGCTGTAGAGGAAATGTATTTTTCTTAATTATCATCTAACTTGACATTTCTGCTTTATTAAATTATAAATCTAACTGATGTGACAAAGACCTGATGTTTAATCTGTCAGTTGAGAAAACTTGGCACACTTAAAATTTTCCATTTTTATAGGACTTCAGTGTTAGCTAAGATCTTCACTTATTCGAATAAATATGCCTCTAGTAATAGTTTATACTAACTCAAAAGAAATGTTATCATTTGTGTTTCTGCAATATTATCCCCAAAATAACATGCATAAAACTGTATTCTAAAATTTGTCAAACATAACATCAAGTGAAAGTTAACATGAATTTTGAAATTAGCTTTTATAATTTATGCTTGAATATGATTTTGCAGTTGAACTGCTGTATTTTAAATGTGAACTATAGTTGGTTGTATGAGTTCATATTTAAACTCAATATACTGATTAAGTGACATTTTAGCCCAGAACATTAGACATTATTTTTTACAAATTATTTTAAACCCCTATATATTAAAACATAGATTTGCATCAATTAGCAAAAGAATTTGTATTTTTTAAAATTTTCTTCAAAATTAGACAATGGGTGATATACACAAAAGGTTTCACAGGTAATGTATAACTTTAAAACCTTCCTCAAAAAACAGGCTTCACATACCCCTTTTCCCTGAAATTTCATCTTTTAGTTTAAAAACTCAGTTTAAACAAAGTTAACTGATGTATTTCTTTAAACCACTTTTAAAATGGCTATGTGATATTAAATTTCCATTTCCTGTTTTCACAAGCTACAAGAGGGTGTGGCCACAAAATAAATCACTCGTCGGAGTGATTAATGCTCTTTTACCAAACTTTGTAGCTCTTTATTTTAGCATAACGTCCCATTTCTTCCAGTTTTTAAGTCTGCCAATTGTAAAGTTCACTGAGCATTGTGACTGTGATATATGAAATATTTATCACTGGCCTATTTCTGTGGGAAATAATTCCAAATGTCCCCAAGCACACTGTTGACTTCTGAATATGAAATTCAATCAACATGGATAAAGCATCTTAAAACAAACTAGTGTTCTGTGCCATTTGTCATTTTAAATGAACACTTGTCCTGTTCATTTGAAATCTCACAGGAATAATTACACCTACACTCATTATGCTAGAGTATATTAAAATAGCATTTATTTGCTACCTACTCACAACATTTAAATGAAATTTTAAGACATTGGCCTGAGATTTATTTTGTATGCTAGGTAGTTTTATCATACAAAAATATACTTTATCTCAAATAATAAGCTTGAAAAACTCAAATGAGGAAAATCCTTTAGTATATTAAAATAACTCTGTACTACCGAGGAACAATTTTCATAGTTATTTCTTCAAAAGGGAAACACAATTTTTTATAACAAAATAATGCAACCTTGATGTTTCTTAATTCTACATTTTTCTATTAATAGTTTACAAACTTAAAAATTAAACCAAGTACACAATTAAAAGATTTCTTACAAAGAACACATTCTACATCATTTAAATTGCCAAATATCAAACAGTTTATTCTATTTCACTTTCTAGGGAAAAAACCAACTGCTCCAAAAGAATGTGCTTTTCTCCCATTCTGGAAATCAACATGCAGTCTGAATCTAACATTACAGTGCGAGATGACATTGATGACATCAACACCAATATGTACCAACCACTATCATATCCGTTAAGCTTTCAAGTGTCTCTCACCGGATTTCTTATGTTAGAAATTGTGTTGGGACTTGGCAGCAACCTCACCGTATTGGTACTTTACTGCATGAAATCCAACTTAATCAACTCTGTCAGTAACATTATTACGATGAACCTTCATGTACTTGATGTAATAATTTGTGTGGGATGTATTCCTCTAACTATAGTTATCCTTCTGCTTTCACTGGAGAGTAACACTGCTCTCATCTGCTGTTTCCATGAGGCTTGTGTGTCTTTTGCAAGTGTCTCAACAGCAATCAACGTTTTTGCTATCACTTTGGACAGATACGACATCTCTGTGAAACCTGCAAACCGAATTCTGACAATGGGCAGAGCTGTAATGTTAATGACATCCATTTGGATTTTTTCTTTTTTCTCTTTCCTGATTCCTTTTATTGAGGTAAATTTTTTCAGTCTTCAAAGAGGAAATACATGGGAAAACAAGACACTTTTATGTGTCAGTACAAATGAATACTACACTGAACTGGGAATGTATTATCACCTGTTAGTACAGATCCCAATATTCTTTTTCACTGTTGTAGTAATGCTAATCACATATACCAAAATACTTCAGGCTCTTAATATTCGAATAGGCACAAGATTTTCAACAGGGCAGAAGAAGAAAGCAAGAAAGAAAAAGACAATTTCTCTAACCACACAACACGAGGCTACAGACATGTCACAAAGCAGTGGTGGGAGAAATGTAGTCTTTGGTGTAAGAACTTCAGTTTCTGTAATAATTGCCCTCCGGCGAGCTGTGAAACGACACCGTGAACGACGAGAAAGACAAAAAAGAGTCTTCAAGATGTCTTTATTGATTATTTCTACATTTCTTCTCTGCTGGACACCAATTTCTGTTTTAAATACTACCATTTTATGTTTAGGCCCAAGTGACCTTTTAGTAAAATTAAGATTGTGTTTTTTAGTCATGGCTTATGGAACAACTATATTTCACCCTCTATTATATGCATTCACTAGACAAAAATTTCAAAAGGTCTTGAAAAGTAAAATGAAAAAGCGAGTTGTTTCCATAGTAGAAGCTGATCCCCTGCCTAATAACGCTGTAATACACAACTCTTGGATAGATCCTAAAAGAAACAAAAAAATTACCTTTGAAGACAGTGAAATAAGAGAGAAATGTTTAGTACCTCAGGTTGTCACAGACTAGAGAAAAGTCTAAGTTTCACCAAATCCACATTCAAATGAGTTTTAAATTTAAATTGTAAAAACTGATATTACTGCCAAATAGAAGAAATATTTTAAGTATTGATTATGTTGTAAATTTTCAATGTGAATGTCAATTAGATTAGGTCATATATATCCAACTTCTTCATTACTTAATGTATTTGTTGCATGGCAGTTTGTTAAGGTACTATCATGTGTACATTTTGTCAATATTATGTCCAACAGAAAATATTCATGTAAGTCATATTTTCTAAAGAATAAATACATAGCCTTAAAATAGTGTATAACTTTAAAATGTAACTGACATAGGTATCCTTGCTTTTTTTTTTTTTTTTGAAGTTACAGTGCATTATTTCTAAGCCACAAATTACAGATATACTTACATGACAACTAGGGTAGCATTTTAACCTAAAACCCAAAATTATGGGCTCAAAACAATCCAGGATCTTCCATACCACTATCCTGTGTTTGCTGGTATACTGTACTTGCTATGTCTGATGCATCAAAAATGATGAACTGTGTATGAAGCTATATTCTTTTAAATGTAAAAAATCATAGGATTTATCAAAATTTTAAAATTAATGAACAACAACAGAAAACACCTCTGTATACACACCAAGATAGAGAAACTTTAAAATTCATGTTTACTATGAAAAAAAAAACAAACAAACTGATTTTCTAAGTTCAAGGACAGTATGCCTATAATATACAAATGAAAAGAAAATAAAGGGAAGGAAGAACACTAAAGCACCAGCCTTTTTCTTCCCTTCTCTCTTTGCTTAAGTTTAAGCTAAATGCTCTGGATTAATACAGTATACTGGTTTAAAAAAAAAAAAAAAAAAACCAGTACATTAAAATAACCTACTTCATAACTTTATTCAACTCAGCCCTTTTGTATAATAGAAAGTTAACTATCCAAATCTGAATACCAGGAAGGGTGGGGGGGGGAGATATTATGCTATTATAGAAAAGTCTAACAAAGCCTCTAATTTTAGATACATGCAAGTTTAGAGTAATACAGTTTATACGATGTTCTTAAGCAATCATAGCTCTAGCTCCCATGTATTTCAAAATATAGTTGTTTTATTTCCACACTGAAAATCATTAAAGTAACAATAAATCTTGTCACTTTTCTACTCTACCATCACTTAATTTAACTTCAGGCATGTTTCTCTCCAACCCTGAATTCATGTGGGAAAATCATGAAATTGCGAACCCTAACTACAGATTACAAGGATTAGAAATATCATAGGAAGCCAATATTTTCCAATTGCTATAATGTAATAATCTATCAGTAAGTGCCAATATCACTATCAGAAAATTAGCAGTGTTACTTAAAATAGGAAAATACTGCATTGTAATTGGCTAGGTGAACAACTTTTATTCTATTTTTTGAAAATGTATTCACTAACCCAAGTAGCAACCCATTTTTAAACTAAAAAAAAAAAAAAAGTCCAAAAATTCAACAATATATCACTTTTATACAAATAAATGAGATTTATCCAGTCTAGTTTACTAAATATCTGAATCCTTGGAGAAATGAATACCATGCAATAGCTTGGACTCATTAAGGTAACACGGCAAATTAAATAGTAAATTACTTCTGATAATAATGTTAACATAATGTCAAATCTTGGCAAAACCTCAGTTTCCTTCTGCCTTATTTCCTACTGTTTTTTGAAGTTAAAAAAATGCTTCAAAATGTAGCATAGCCAAGTTTTTGAAACCCCAAAGGGAAATTAACACTTCAGGCACAAAAGTATCAAGAAAATGTTGATTTGGTGCCATTTGGCACAGCGTAACTCCTAATCTTCTTTTATTTTATTTTTTTAACCCAGGAAATAAAACAAACTCTTCACTTAAAAAATTTTTAAATGAATTTTATAACTGGACTCCAACCATAAAATAAAATTGTAATATCTAGTTTTATAATCTTAATAAAAATTAGACTATTTTTAGAGCCCTCATATTAAGGAAAACTCCCTTACGTTTTAAATATTTTTATTCTTAAGGTTTATAACTATGCCAAAGAACTCAGTATAAAAACAGATTTCTAATATATTTATCTAAAGTGCTTTCATGCCTTATCTTCTGTAATAAGAAATAAATAAATGGCAAATATCACAATATTGCCCTTAAAACTGCTATTATTTCTAAATTTGGCAATGAAGCAGACATTGAACAAGCATTTTTGCCCATCTGTAATGATCTTTCAGGTATACAAAAGTGCATCAACTGATTTATGACAAGAAAATTCATACCTATCAGAAAACTTCTAATAGCTTTCTAATGTGCTAAGTAGTATAAAATATGCAAACCAAAATAATACTTATAAGTTAAAATTTAGCTTGAAAAACAAGTCACAACTATGTTTCCACTACTGACCTCAGCTTAAATGTGAGAATGAAAAGCTTAGACAACTTTTTGTATTAAACATCTGTTCTATGAAAAGATAAAATATTTCTATTTTCCTCATGTTGGTCTTCATTACAATGTGTGAATTCACTTTATTTCAAGTAATTTTGCTCATAAAAGCATTAAGGCTAATATTTCCTGTTAGAATGAAAAATTAAAAATGCAAACACAACAGAGGCAACAGCAAACTCAATATGGGACCCTTCTTAAAACTAAATTTTTCTGTCCATATGCTATTATAAATCATAGGCACAGATATCAATTTCTACAGTTAATTGGGTCAGTTCTTCCAAAGGATAAAAAGCCCTTAGTTGCCTTTAGTAGGGCTTATTCCACATAGCATTTTAAATATCAACCAAAGATGAGCTCAACAAGATGTGAAAATATTATTTGCTTTTTTTGTTTTACATTTTTTAAGGGAGCTGTTACTTTGTCAAATACTACTGAACAAATGTTCAAACTTATTATAAAGGTAGAATTATTTACAATGATGCATCTTTTAAAATGCCTTTCATGATAATTCTGTATTTCTTACCCAAGTCAGTTTTTAGGTATATGTTCTATTTTTTCATCCTTTAACTAAAATTACAGCAGTCTCTCCTTAACAGCAGTTTTAATTGATACAGTTTCAGTTTCCCAAGGTCAGTTAGCATGTCCAAAAATATTAAATTGAAAATTCAAGAAATAAACAATTTATAAGTTTTAAATTGTTATATCTAAACTTATTTATATACTTATGTATAATTGTTCTACTTTATTATTAGTTGTTTTTAATCTCTTACTGTGCCTAATTAATCTTTATCATAGGTATGTATGTATAGGAAAAAACATAGTACATAATATACTATAGATAGGGTTCAATACTATCCATGGTTTCAGGCATCCTCCAGTGGTCTTGTAATGTGTCCCTGCCGATAAGGGGGGACTAATGTACAGCAAACTCTCAGTTCCTTGGGCATTAAAAATCAGATTTCTCATTGAACTGAAATTAGACTTAAGGCTTTAAAGAAATCTAAAATTATTAGGAAACAAGATCTTAGTAGGGCTTATTCCACCTATTTCAAGGCTACTTCCCAAAGTCAATAAAACTGTTCATTTTATTGCATTTTATGACTATAAAATTAAGTAAGCTTTGTAATTCAATTAGCATTTAAAATCTCACAGTACAGATGCATTTTGGCAGATACTTTGAAATATATGAAAGATTCATTATCCTCAAGAGCTTAAAATCTAGAGTCAAGGCATTAAAAGGTATGGCAATACCTAAAAACAGAGGCAGATGTGGTAAATACTATAAAAAATGAATAAAGTTCTTTTAGACTTAAGAAGAAAGGGATCGTGTTGAATTTAAGAAGAATATAAACAAAAACACTGCTGAATAAGGCACTGCAGCATATTCTGGAAGAGCAAGTTGTTCTTTGTAAGAATGATAATAGAGTAGGGAGAACTTATCTAGAAAGTTAAACTTGGGCCATAACTAGAAGAGATAATGCAAGCAGGGAAATACAAGGTGAAAAAATGAGCTTCAAAAGAACAAATAAAACAGCAATACATAAATAGCTTTGATGAGGTAAGACACAGAAGACAGGAAGCTGCCCCCATCACCTTCATCGCTAGTGAAAGGCCTGGCAATAAGTGATGGCAATAGCGTGACAAAGGAGTATACAGATGTGACAGCAGTGTGAAGACAGAATAACAGTAGTTAGGAAAGAAAACTGGCATAAGAGATTGAAGAATTAAAAATAATGACCAGAGGGAAGACCATAAGAAACAGACTATCCTCAATAAATAACTATTCAATTATGCTTTGCATAAATTACATTGATAACACAAGCAAAAACAAGAATCTATGACGAGGCAGAAAACTCAATGAAGTAAAACAAGTAACATTAAAAAATGTTCTAGTTATGGCCGGGCGCAGTGGCTCACGCCTGTAATCCCAGCACTTTGGGAGGCCGAGGCGGGTGGATCACCAGGTCAAGAGATCGAGACCATCCTGGTTAACATGGTGAAACCCCGTCTCTACTAAAAGTGCAAAAAATTAGCTGGGCATGGTGGCTCGTGCCTATAATCCCAGCTACTTGGGAGGCTGAGGCAGGAGAATTGCCTGAACCCAGGAGGCGGAGGTTGCGATGAGCCGAGATCGCGCCATTGCACTCCAGCCTGGGTAACAAGAGCAAAACTCCATCTCAAAAAAAAAAAAAAAAAAAATGTTCTAGCTATGAGAAGCTATTCAGAATGAAAATTTTAAGTTGATGTTTTAAATTATCTACTTTATATATTTTTCAATTGGTTTATTCCAGTTTTCCATTAAACACATATTTTCTAACTATTTTAACTATTAAAAAAATACAGTGAGAAAATACCAATGTATGTAAAGTAAAACATACAAATGTCATCCTTCGCTTTTTTCCCCTGAACAATTTATTACGAGCATCCATCCAACTCCTTATATACATACAGCCCTCATTCTTTGTTAATGGTTACATAAAAATAGTTTTGTTTTTGTTTTTGTTTTTGTTTTTTGAGACAGTCTTGCTCTATCACCAGGCACCAGGCTGGAGTACAGTGGCGCGATCTCAGCTCACTGCAACCTCCACCTCCTGGGTTCAAGCAATTCTCCTGCCTCAGCCTCTCGAGCAGCTGGGACTACAGGCGCACACGACCATGCTCAGCTAATTTTTATGTTTTTTAGTAGAGACAGGAGTTTCACCATGTTGGCCAGGATGGTCTCGATCTCTTGACCTTGTGATCTGCCCGCCTTGGCCTCCCAAAATGCTGGGATTACAGGCGTGAGCCACCGTGCCTGGCCATAAATCGTTTTTTAATTAAAAAATTTTAAAATAGGAACATTTCTA